TTACTTTTTAATAAATGAATAAATTGGTGTTATAGAAAGTTTAAAAGAAAAAAGAAAGGTGATCCAACAGAAGGCTCAAACTACAGAACAATCATTAATAGGGCTCATCTAACATTTCGGGCCAGATTCAAAAAGGACATGGAACAAGGAACATCACTGTTCATGCCAGATGGATCTTGGCTCAAAGCAGAGAATACCAGAAAGATGTTTACTTGTGTTTTATTGACAATGCAAAGACATTCAACTGTGTGGACCATAATAAACTATGGGTTATAAACAATGGACCACAATAAACCTTGAGAAAAATGGGAATTCCAGAACACTACACATTGTGCTTATTCGGAATGTATACATGGATCAAGAGAAAATTGTGGGAACAGAAGAGAATGCGGCATGGTTTAAAATCAGAAAAGGGGCGTGTCTGAGTTGTATCCTCTCATAATACTTGTTCAACCTGTATGCTGAGCAAACAATCAGAGAAGCTGGCTTATAAGAAGACTGTGGCAACAAGATTGGAGGGAGGCTGATTAACCACCTGCAATATTAGATGACACAATCTTGCTTGCTAAAACTGTGGAGAATCTAAAGCACTTGAAGATGAAGATCAAGGATTAGTTTTCAGTATGAATCATAACTCAATATAAAGATCAAAATCCTCACAACTGGACCAATAAGTAATATCATGATAAATGGAGAAAAAATAAGACATTTAAAAAGATTCTGTCTTAGGGAAAGGGGGACCAGACTTCAAACCAGTGCTCCAAGATGTGACTGCAACATGCCGGCGTGGAGTAGGGAACCAGTAAAGAGGTCTGAGGGACCGGCCCCAATCCCAACTACTACGTGGACACCTGCCCCTCCCCATAGAAGAATTTATTTCAAAGGACGGCATTGAATCTGCAGCTCCAGGAGAGGAACATATCTGATCGGAGCACACGGGAACAGATAAAGTGGGAGGAGGAGAGAGTGGAACACATCTTGGCCCACCAGGCCTTGAGGACGATGTCCCTGATTAGAGTAGCCAGTCCACAGAGAGGACCACATGGCCGGCCCCACTATGAGACACGATGTCCCTCACTGACCCATAGCCCTACGGGGACAACATCAGAGACAGTGTGGGAATTGTGCCTGATCTGATCCCGCTACATGGAGGCAAAACACTAAAGGGGTGCAACAGAACAGCCAGGGAACTGAGCGGCGAGGTCCCCAGGGAATGCCGAGGGTAGACTTTGGGGCCAGGGCTTGGTGTCCCAACAGGATGAACTGGAAAACACTCCTAAAGGCCAACAAACAGTCCTTGAACTACCTACAAGCTTTTCTTTGTTGTTGTGTCTTATTTTTTTCTCATTGGTTTGTTGCTGTTGTTATTTTGTCGTATATTGTTGCTTGGTTTTGCTCTGTCTTGTTTTTGTGCATGTTATTATCTCCGCAGG